AGTAAGACCGGACACAGCGACATGAGCTGTAACGAAGTGATGAGTCTCCAAAATCATTTTTATACGAGGCACTCGACGTCTGTAATAACTATGATGTAAAATGGGGCAACAAAAAGAGCGTAGAGATAAGGAAACTTGAAAAAAAAACAGAAAATGTAAAGAATTAAAATCAGATAGAAGAATTTAAATATAGAAAAATAGAGGTTAAATAAAATAAAAAAAACAATAAGGGTTCAAAATACAAATAAAGATAAAACGAGGGGAAATGGCGTTAGGACGAATGACTAAAAGAAAAAAAGAAATATTATCAGGTAATAGAAGGTAGACAAGAACGTATTAGAAAAGAAAAAGAACACGATAGGGTGTATACACAGTTAAATGTCGTTTCTTTGTTCACCTTAACGACACCCTATGTATAAAACACATCAAATGGCCTCGTTAGAGAATCCTATGTTTGAGGCATACGCGTACCTAATTTTGAATTTCGGACCAGAAAGAAGGAAATCAGTCTTAATCGAATAGCAGGATCTATTGCTACTCTTATAACTCACCCACACAGCTAAAATGCGAAACTCGTTTGATAGTAACACGAGTCGAGCCCGAGAGTAGACCTCGGATATCCAATTTCATACGTTAATAAATAGATGCACTCGAGCAGAAAGTAAAGAAAGAGAAGTGTGTCAAGTATGAGAAAACGTATAAAACATAAGTGTGTAAAAATGTCTAATAGAACAGAAAAACGTATAGAAACATAAGTGTGTGGAAATGTCTTATAGAACAAGAAAAACGTATAAAACATAAGTGTGTGAAAATATCTTATAGAACAGAAAAACGTATAAAACATAAGTGTGTAAAAATGTCTAATAGAACAGAAAAACGTATAAAACATAAGTGTGTGGAAATATCTTATAGAACAGAAAAACGTATAAAACATAAGTGTGTAAAAATGTCTAATAGAACAGAAAAACGTATAAAACATAAGTGTGTGGAAATATCTTATAGAACAGAAAAAAAGAGGAAAAGCTACTAGGAATTACAAAGAAGAAAAGAAAATCTTAAGGTCGTAATAGGGAGGCAGCTAGTCAACAGCACCCACTGCCAACTCTTGGGTTACTCTTGCCAGATCGAGTAGAGGGATTTGACACTCACTCATATAACGCATCTACGGCCCAAAAGTGAGGAACGCTTTTTTTAATGTTTTTGTTTTTTCGGTGGTGGCGGAACGCGAAAGTTGGATCCACGGATCATCAGTTTGGCACGCTAACAACTAGATCAAAGTCAGCCCAATAGAGACAAAAAAAAAGTAAGTAAGAGACGTAAATGGGAAACCACTAATTGGGAAATATTTCAAAGTAATAAAAATAAACAAGAAGAAACAAGGTCAAGAATAGAAAGAAAAATAAAGCATTCCCAAATAAAACAATAAAGAAAGAAAGAAAGAAAGCTTAGTGTCTGTGGCAAGATATTAGTATAGCATAATGTTTCATGACTTGCTATGATGATTAAGAGCGCTCGTTAACCTTGTTTCAGTTTAAAAGTTTAGTTTTTATTTTCGGGTATGAAACAGCAAATAATTGCTACTAGGTTACGTAAACAACAAACGAACTCTTAAAATAGATAAGATGTATGGAATAGTTGTCGTAGATGATAATTTCAAACCGATTTTATAAAATTGTTTAATATTTTATATATGAATATTACGTTTGTAATACAAAATAGCTGTAGTTCGATAATTATCATAATAATTATTACGATGTCACTGAACTCTCTACAAGTTTGATTTACTGATCAATTACTTTTGTCCCACACATGTCTAACTAATAACTCATAACATGCAACACCGGTTTAAACACCGGGGCATATAAGATTTTCTTTGGACATTGACCCCGATCATGGTTGCTCTTGGAACTAATTTTCCCGAGAGTTGTTTTACACAATATTGTTAAGTCTACGCGACCACATATTTTGAAAGTTTTACCACCGGGTTTGTTATTGTTTGGGGCGTTGACATTATGTGGCATAGCAAATGTTTACTTCCTATCGTTGGAAACATGTCATAGTTTAAGTAAACAATCCAAATTACTGCAACTCAATCTCATAAAAGCGTAGCAAAGCCACAGGAAAGCGGCAGCCGACGATCTCTTCTCGTAGCTTTAAACATTACTGTGACTTAGTGTTTTAACCATTAACGAAGTTTTGAAACAATCATGTACAAAGTATCGTAGAGAACACATAGTTTCAAATGTTATTCAATTTTTCATTTCGAACGATCAACACCATCTCATCTGAGACGAGAATACTAAAGAGGAATTCACTTAACATTACCATATTTTATCAAATAGCAGATTATTATTGAAAACGGGGAATAAATTTAGAATTATGGGCTAAGAGCATAAGTGAAGTTAAAATTATTTAACTCTTTTTTTTTTCTTCGGGTTCTAAGGAACCAAAACGATGCTCACGAGTCCTGGATTGCTTTTCACTCTCACGGCACTCAGACCAGTCTCTTTGTTACCCGAACATTACATTCAGGTGTCTTACAGAGTATATAAACTTACCTGAACTTGTTTTAAGGTGTATTGATTAATGCTCGTTTATTCTAGTCGAAAGCCATATAAGTATAAATCCAACATATTATTTTACACGGAAGCTGATGTCGAAATACAATAAAATATTCTGAATGTGTTATAAATACCGGTTTAATGCTAGTGTTCAATTAGTTTTCGTTGCTTATCATTTTTCTTAAAATATTTATTTTTTATCTGAAAATTTTACCTCCTTTTAGTTGTGTCTATGAAGATTCAAGTTTTTATTCTTAGAAGTATATTTTTTATGTTCTAATGAGTTTCAATTATTTGCGTTTTGATGACAACAGCCATTAAATTTCCAAATACCTAAACAGTTTTTATCCTATCATGACAACACTTAATTATAAGACATTTTCTGTAAAGTTTCTGTTGTTGTTTTTTTCTAACTTTTTGGTCATGTCACACATTTTACAACAGAGTCAAAGAATCGCATTTGTGATATAGGTATTATCACTATAAAATCTAGTGTTAATTCGTATTATAATTTGGGTATTGAACTTGATACAAACACTTTAAACCATGGAAAGTAAAACACTATGATCTTAAATAGTTACCTTTCTATTAGCGACCGAGCACAAGGGTGAGTTCTTCAACAACATTTGTATTAAGTGAGTGAACACATGGTCGTACAGTGCGTAGTTGTTCAACAATATTTTTATTAAGTGAGCGAACAACTGGTTGTACAGTGCGTAGTTGTTCAACAATATTTTTATTAAGTGAGCGAACAACTGGTTGTACAGTGCATAAACATCCTATGAAGAGTTGTATATT